TACACCTGGCCATGCTGGGTCTCCAGTATATAAGTATATAACCACCTGGCCATGCCGGGCCTCTAGTATATAAGTTTGTATATAACCACCTGGCCACGCCGGGCCTCCAGTATATAAGTTTATATATATAATCATCTAGCCATGCTGGGCCGCCAGTATATAAGTTTGTATATAACCACCTGGCCATGTCGGGCCTCCAGCATATAAGTATATAACCACATGGCCATGCCGGGCTTCCATTATATAAGATTGGTTTGGTTTGTTTTCAATTTCGCGCAAAGCTGCACGAGGACTATCTGGGCTAGCCGTCCCTAATTTAGCAGTGTAAGTCTAGAGGGAAGGCACCTAGTCATCAACACCCACCGCCAACTCTTGGCTACTCTTTTACCAACAAATAGTGGGATTGACCGTCACTATATATCGTTTCGAAGACTGAAAGGGCGAGCATCTTTGGTGGGACGGGGATTCGAACCCGTGACCCTCAGATTGCGAGTCAAGCGCCCTAACCGGGCCATACCAGGCCTCCAGTATATAAGTACATACACTTTCATTTCACTGCGGTATTCAGGATTTACTGAAATCAGTGTTTTGTTTTAATTATCAAAAACCAATAAGCAATGATGATTATAATGATGATTACTGATTCATTTGTCCAGAAGAACATCTTCAAGAAATAAGAAATATACAACTACAAAAACATTACAAAGCAGCTGAATTTTATTATCTTGAGCTTTAAAATTTAATAGGCGTCGTTTTCCCCAAGAAGTAAAAGTTTTAGGAGGAAAACAACAACAACAAACAAACAAAACTCTGAAGCTTGCAAGAGTCTGCTAGTTACGCTCCTACAACGCAGATAGGTTTAACCCTTTCGCGACCAGAGATTTTATACTCCCCGGAACCAGGGACACTTGGGAATTTGATGAAATATTAAACTATATTATATTTATTTATTATATAGAAGAAAAATCCTACAAACAATATATTGCTGGATTCAGTGCGAAAACCGTTATCCAGATAGGTCCATTTTGTTCTCTGGGAAGAGTGGGTGTACCAAGTATGCCTCTAAGTAAGCGAGGGATTAATATACATGTCTTGTACCTTATTTTATGTTTTAAACAAAATAAAGTGAGGGAGATTAGAAACTAGGTTACACTATATCTTATAGGCTTACACCTTTCCAGGCAGCGATGTTCCTTTTTCATCGTTTAAAACCCTCCAGTGGCACAGAAGTATGTCTGCAGACTTATATTGCTAAAAAAAATCAGGTTTCGATATCCGTGGTTGGCACACAACAGATAGCCCATTGTGTAGCTTTGTGCTTAACAACAGCAAAAATAAACATTCGGCGTTTAAGATTTTAGCGTTCTTAACAGTACCTTTAATATTTGTAGCCAACTGGAATACCTCAGACAGTTTTACCTATACATCGCTAACATGATGACATGTTTTGATGATTGATTACTAATTATGAAGGTTAAAACTAAACTTTAATAAAACCTGAGGCTCCGTATCTCGAATAAAATGTAGGTATAGCAGTAACAACGTACAATAAATTCATGCATATTATTTCGAAATTTAAAATCTATTGAAACATTCCTTTATGTACTGAGTTTCTATAGAAAGTATGACGTTCTACAAGTGAACTGTTTAGAATATAATGTTGTATCGGGCCTACAGAACAGAAGTATAGCATTGTAAAGTTGCATTCTTCACAATGTAATCCTGTACAGATCTTCCAGAGAACAATGTATCACCACAGGGCTAAAGAGTGTACAGTATAGAGTAGTGTAAAAGGCAACTACAACACTGTTTTAAAGTTGCATTCTTCACAATGTAATCCTGTACAGATCTTCCAGAGAACAATGTATCACCACAGGGCTAAAGAGTGTACAGTATAGAGTAGTGTAAAAGGCAACTACAACACTGTTTTAAAGTTGTGTTCTTCACAATGTAATCCTGTACAGATCTTCCAGAGAACAATGTATCACCACAGGGCTAAAGAGTGTACAGTATAGAGTAGTGTAAAAGGCAACTACAACACTGTTTTAAAGTTGCGTTGTTTACACCAGAATGTTGCACTGATCCTCTAGAGCAGCGTTTCTCAATCTTTTCGAAACCAGGAATCGGCTCGCTGTCTCCTTAAACTATCGCAGACCACTAAAATGCAAGTACAGCGAAAAAACGTTACGATTTACATATGAATATTATGTCAGGTTTTATTTGTTTGTTTTCGTGATCATCAAGATGGTCGTGGCACCGGTTTATGGTTGAGAAACGCTGTTCTAGAGAGCAATGCAACATTGTAGAGCTGAAGTATTTACAGTATAGCGGAATGAAACTGAGTTTCTAGAACACAAATAAATCACTGTTTTAAAGTTGCGTTTCTGTTCACACCAGAATGTTGTAATGATCCTCTAGAGAACAGTGCAACATTGTATAACTAAATTGTTATCAGTATTGTAGCTGAAAAGAGTCTCTAGAATAGCAATGTAACATTGTAGAGATGAATATTTTCAGAAGAACGTTGTTGTGCTGTGACAACATTTTAAAGCTTTGTCTTATTCTGTACATTAAAATACATGAAGCGACGGAGATTAAATAACATGTTAGACTATTTTGTAGTCTTATGCCTCTTGAGGAAATGTTGTTGATATTTTTCAATATTGAGGTTATTTTTAAAAGTTTTGTAATATTCAGTTATGCATGTGATCAAAGTTGATTTGAAACTTTAATTTCGAAAATACTGATTTGAAATATTAGCAATTACATCAAGTTAAGTCTGAAATTTAAAAATGTATCGACGCTAAAACAATTAGATTGCTTTATTTTATTTACACCATATAAATATGTATACACACCTCTGTACAATTTTGTAACAAAATATATTATTATAACATAAATACAGAGAGATTACAGCACAAATAACACACCACATGCACCTTCATGATACTAATATAAAGTACGTTTTTGATATTCGAACACGAAAGTTGTTTGTTTTTCATATATGTAGGTTTGCCAATGTCCTTCTAAGGTCTGTTAAATTAACAGAAGGATCTTGATCAATGTTTACAAGCTCTTCGGAGTAACGTAGCCTACTCCAGATAGCGTTACGTCGAGATAAAGACAGCAAACAAGGTAGCAATTCAGGCATAACTGAATGGTGGGTGATTAAGGCTGAGAGAGTGGTAAATTCTTTCGTAAAACCCTTGAAGAAGAAAAGAATTAATATAAATCATGGAATGCGTTTTCTTTAAATTTCTTTCGAAAGAGAGATTTATGAGAGATAGGAGATTAATCGAACTTTCTAAGAATGATTTGTTATAATATTTAATAATATAGAAGCATGGCGTCGCACGTGCAAGATGAACCGTCTCGGGACACAAACTTAGCTCATGTATTTGTTTTCGGCGAATTCTCGACGATTATACAGTATAATGCTGTAAAGGTAGTCTTAAGGCTGGAGGATATATAATACAGTTCTTTCCGTTGGAAAGATTTTTCTATAATGATATTTCCTTCAATGCTCTCCATAGAAGTGGAACCATTCGCATAGCAAAACGTTAAGTACAGTAATGGGCGCAGGAAAAATACACCCTACAGTAAGTCGGAGCAGCATATTCACCTACAAAGCTAAAGCTATGTATATGAAAGAGAACCTTTTACCCCCACTCAAAACACACACACACACACAAAACAACAACAAACTATTGCGATGAAGTTGTGAATCTCTTCTAATACCGTTAATAAGTTTATGAACATCTTGAACTGGCTGTTTTCATGAGAAAGATGGCCTAAAAACTGCAATCAAAGCAAATTCATTTGACAACTTTAAGTCTCCTGATTCAGCTTCAGTAAATTTCCTAACTATATCTGTCTGTTTAAATATAGTTCTGGAAGCCGATGTTCACGTAAAGTTCAAAATATGTGGAAAGTTTGTCAAAACATGTGGTCGAAGAAAGACTGACCTTGTTAAACCACGTTTGAGCAGACTAAAGGAACAAATGTATAAAAGTTCATCGGGAGAGGGGAAGGTTGTGACTGATATTCTTGTTATTGCACGTTATTTGGCCATCTTCCTCATGAAAAAAAAAGAGCCATTGATTACGAGACGTGGCTGGTAGCTTGTGAACCTTGGAGTTGAGCTTCCGTCAACTTCAAATCTTTGCTTATTTTCTTATTAACAGCACCAAGAAATATTCTCAACTTTATTGCAAATTTCTTTCTTTCTTTTTTTTTTTGGGGGGGGGGTGAGAGGGTTCCCTTTCGTACCATATCCTTTACTTTGTGGATGAGGTCATTACTCGAGATTAGCTTGTTGTGTATTTCAGGAGTCTGAAGAGCAATGACGTCTCCTATCTTAGAAATATTGTGCCATTGGGATTTATATCGTTTAATGATTTCGCTACACCGATATCCTTCAATGTAAAAGAATTATATTTTTCTCCAGTCATAAATCTATCCGTAACAGCATTGCACTGTCAAGTAATCGAGAATTCGCTGTGAATCAAATATTTAGATAGAGACTCACATCTTTGACGACACACTACTGTATTCGAATATGTAACTATTTTTTATAAAGGACTATTATACATTAGAGTATTTGTACGTACTTTTATTTTATACCCTCTAAATGTTTTCAGGATGAGATAATGAGCGATCCCCGTGGGTTGGAATGTTAGAGGAACTCTCAGGGAAAGGGCAAAACATCCGGGTTTACTTGTACTTTTTCGCACCATAAATGATCCAACAGGCTCATTGGCTAAGAGCTCTTGAACAATTTCTCTGAAAAAAAAAAGTATAAAATGTATTTGTACAAACTGTACATGGCTTATCAGGTGATTTTTATCCTGCTCTTAAGTTTATTTTACTTACTAGTAACACATATTTGTTATTGTAAATAAGTTTTGCATTATTAAGTATGTAATTACATAAAAATTCAGTAATAATGAATTACTTAAAATGAACAAATCACTTATCCTGCTAATATAACAAAAAAAAAAAAAAAGAAGATGAGATAATCACAAAAAAATCTAATAATAATAAAACAAAGTATAGTAAGGGTTTATACCAAAGGGTGGCGCCACGTTATAAGATTCAAAAATAATATTTGCATCGAGATTGGTTAGATTTCAATACTTTTTGAAAGAAGGGCCAAACGTGGCCTAATATTATTAGTCTGAACTGTGAATCTGAGACTTCGTTATTCGCACCATGTTACCAATAACTGAGCTGCGTAACTTGGAACTATGTGTACGCTATAAGAGTATGTTATTCGAATCTTAGAATTTGGCCTGATAACAGTAGCCCAAGAACTGGCAAGAACAAAGCAAGATCAGGGATGGCTAGATTTGCAGGACAATTCTGAAACAAAGAATTTCGAAAGAAATTAATGTAATTAGTATTTCTTCATTATGTTGAAAGAAGTTCTGAAGCGATAGAATGCATGTTGTTATTTTTAAGATAACAGTTTTTGATTTTTGTCAGTGGATTCTGGTTAAACTCAGCTAGTCCATTTTGAAATTATGGCAACCTGATAGAGTTTTGCGATCAGTACTTAGTAGAACTTAATGTGAGCTTTTAACTAAGGCATTGATTATAGAGTTAAACCATTACGAAATGCTTGTGCTTTGAATTTATCAGATAGAAGTTTACAAATATTTTATTATAGCTTATATCAGCAGATGAATATTTTACAAGCAAGTCATATTATTTATAGCTTTGTTTTTATTCTAACAAAACTTATGTTAATGATTATTATTATTTACTTATATTATGCGACCCGGCATGGCCAGGTGGTTAGGGTGCTCGACTCGCAATCTGCTGGTCGCGGGTACGAATTCTCGTCACACCAAACATGCTCGTCCTTTCAGCCGTGGGAGCGTTATAATGAGACGGTTAATCCCACTATTCGTTGTTAAAAGAGTAGCCCAAGAGTTGGCGGTGGGTTATGATGACTAGCTGCCTTCCATCTAGTTTTACACTGCTAAATTAGGGACGGCTAACGCAGATAGCCCTCGTGTAGTTTTGCGCGAAATTCAAAACAAACAAACAAAACTTATATTATGCACATGTTTTGGAAAACAAAAACAACATTTTTACGAAGAATGAAAGCGTTGCTAGCAGCAATTACAAAGAGTTGACGTAAATATTTTTGAAAAAAGGCGGTAAAAAGAACAAAACAAATAACATTGCGGTACACGTGGCATTAAAATATGGACAGTGGTAAGATGCAGTATTTAATCAAATGTAACCTTAATTATATTTCACACAGTGAATACAAATTTAAGATTTATAAGCAGATTGGAGTCTTAAAACCCATAACGTCATACGCCTTCACTACTTTTCATTAATTAAAGTCAGTTGTGGGAAGGTGGCTGTTGAAAGATATACTATGGATATTTTGGCTAAAATCATATTTTAAAAACGGTTGACAGGATTAAATTTGTATTATTAGGTTTTCTTTCTGTCATTGAATTCTGAATTTGAAGAATGGCTGTTGTTTGAAAATATTTAGTAGGAATAAACTGTATATAAAATTTGATTAGCATTCTTTTCAACTCTATATTTCGTTCGCAAAATTAGAGACCTTTATATTTACTAGATAAAAAACAATTAGAAACAATACAATAAAACTGGCTTACCTAGGAATCCCTGCTTGGAACCAAGCAGCTTCTTTAAGGCCCTCCTCTTCTAGGATGATAGGCTCTAGCGAGTCTTGTCTGAAAAAACAAAACGATCAATATATATTGATGAATTCCAGCTTTGGTATTTCCATTAATAGAAATAGTGCCTTTCTTTAGGTGGAATCGATTCAAAGCCTGTCAATACAGTGATATAGCTAACCTATAAATCAATCACTAAACGGTATAGGTTTCCTTGACAAGTAAAATGCTATACTGCATGTTTGTTTTTAGAGCAGAGTCACATTGGTCTATTTGCTGTGTCCACCGCCGGTAATCGAACCCCGGATTTCAGCGTTGTAAGTCCGTAGACTTACCGCTATTCCACCGAGGGACTTCTGTATTACAGTTAAATATTTGATACAACAATTTCGAATTACTTACCTAATGATGACAAAACCTTGTCGAAACTTTGTACATTTGCTGTTATGTTAAACTTATATTAAAGTTTTTCTTCATTACCCA